TTGAGAGGTTCACCTTTCTAGAGGCATCACAGTACTTTTGCAAAATCTCTAAGATCACACCTCCCTCTGCAATGCTTGCACTTGAGAAGATGTAGGAGTCATCTACAAGAAACAAATGAGTAATGGCAGGGCAGTTCTGATTAATATTTATGTCAGAAATAGATCCTAAAGAATGAGCATGATGGAGAGCTAAGGATAAAACCTATGAAACAATTAGGAACAAATATGGTGAGATAGGTCCCTTTCCTAAGACCCCTAGATGGATAAAACTTTTTTATTGGGGCTTACATTTACAAGCAATTGATAGGAGATAGAACTTATGCAAATCATAACCCAGTTAATAATAAAAAAACCCTTATTCATGTATGTTAGATAGTGTATGCCCTTAGCTTCAATCAGCTTGATATACATTATGACATTTATTGCAAATGAATAAAGTACATATTTGATTCATGTTATTATGGTGTGTTTTTGTGTAATACCCTTAAACTGAACACATATGAGACTCGTGTTAGTTTAGAATCTTCATAGTCGTTGGATAGATCTGGGGAGATTTATTCTACCAAGGCTGACACTGATGTGCCACCAAGTTGGTTAGGGTGGCTTATCTCAACTGCTAGGGTGAGACCTGATGTACATGTAGTGTAGGTTTTCTTGAAACCCTGAATCGGACCAAATTCCACTGTTGCCCTGGACCTTAGAAACAGATGGACAAAACTGGAATGTTACACCTGACCCCTAGACTCGATTATGGTATTGCACTAGGTGTTGGATTGGACTGTCTTTGATGTACCAATCAGTAAGATCCTTAGAGGGGGTCAAAACCTGCGTATGTTGGGACAGTCTAAGAATTCATCTAAGTGGGTGATCATAGTGAAAGGATCAACCCCTTGTCGGACAAAGTGAATGGTCGGGGAAATGCACTTTCTCTAATGAAAACCTAAATTGTCGGCAGTGGATTTCAAATGTGTTTGAAATTTGGTTTTGCAAAATATATTTATATAGAGATATACTTATATATTATGTTTTTACAAATTGTTTGCAAAATGTTTTAATTTCCGAGATCCATGTGAGTAGAGAGTGCAACACTATACCTTGCAACCAAGGGAGAGGTCATCTCTTGTCAGGCATTGTTTGATCATTAAGGGCTGAGAGGTTAAGTGTAAAACCGTTGAGGGTTATGCTTGATGGGCTAATATTGCATATGCCCACAGCCATTGTTTGATCATAAGATGGCTGGACCCAATGACCATTTAGTGTAAATGTTGGGCCCGTTAAGAGCCCATGGTGATGGACTCAGGGGTTCATTGTATTCAGTAGTGAATTCGGCCAAGCCTTGTAACAGAGGCTATGTTGAACTCATGTGGCTGATGTGTAGATTAATGATAGGGTCCCACGCCATACAAAGAGAGCCAAACTAACCAATATTAAAAGGAAGTGAGTCTGAAAGCTTAATGGGCCTAAAGCCTATTTCAAACTGGGTTAATTGGATTAATTAAATAGTGCCGAATCTGGATATGGATCAGTAGATAAGGATAAGATGATAACTCTTATCCACTTAAAGAGTCCAAATCCAAATAGATATTTGGATTAGGAAACTTCTAATTTGATTAGGAGTAGTTGATCTTGATCTGCAGATAAGATAAGGGATTATCCTTATCACTTAAAGAGTTCAGATGCAAATAAAGATTTGGATCAAGAGACTCCTAATCAGATTAAGAGATCATCTCTTTAAGGCTATATATAAAGAATAGGGCGGATTTGAAAAGATAGACAGAAGACAAAACAGTTTGACTGTTTCTGCCTTTAGTTCTTTCTCTCCCTGCTCTTGCCGCCCTACCCTATTCGATCTCCATTTCTTGGAACTGATCAAGATTTGATATTGATATTGTTTCTTGGTAGAAGAAACAATTTTGAAGTTGTGCTCAATACTCCATTCAATTATTGTTGAAGAATCAGAGGTTCTTGGTGAAATTCTGAAGTTGTGCTCAATACCCCATTCGATTCTTGCTGAAGAATCAAAGGTTCTTGGTGAAAAACTACCTGTTGTCCTGCCTCATCCTAAGTTGTGTCATCTTCAGTAGAGGGAGGATTTGATACACTCTTTGGGCATGAACACTTGCGTTGGGAGGAGCATTTTTGTGTGGATTCTGTATCAGGTATACCTCTCCCTAATCTTGGTTTCAGATTTAGTCTGATTTGGTTACAAGAATGAATATTGAAAATGCAGTTTTCTAAATTGGGAATGCGATTCCCGGATGAAAGTAAAGAAATTTTTGAAATTTTGCCCAACCTTCCTACAAGGTTCAGCCACCCATATGATGGATCTCTCATCCCTTCAACATATAGTTTAATAACCATGAATATTTGCTTTTTCCTAAAAGTCTTCATAAAATGGATTAGCTCACGAGAAAATAAATCATAATCAAAGATCATTCTTCCAGGAACATAGGCATTTTGATTTTGACTGATAAATTTTGAGAGGATGGGTTTTAGCTTATTCACTAGAATCTTGGCTATGGTTTTATGCATTGTGTTACACAGGCTTATCGGTTTGAATTGGCTAGCTTCTTTCTGGGTTTATGCATTTTGGTATAAGGGTTATGAAGGTTCTATTAATTTCTCCATGAAGGAAACCCTCTTGGAAGAACTCTAACTATTTTCTTCAAAATAGGACCAATAGTGCTCCAGTAATTTTGAAAGAAATAGTTCAGGAAACCATCAAGGCTTGGGGCTTTGTGGGGATTCATCTAGAACAGTGCTTCCTCAATCTCCTCAACATTTATTTCATTTTGCTTGATGAAAAAACTGTTTCATCCCCAAGTTTTAACCATTTTTGCCTTGACTTTTGAGCCCACAAAATCTCTTCTCACCCTAGCTCTTCATCCAATTATTGTTCAAGTTTATAAATTCTTGATTGATTGTAAGAATATCATGGAGCACCTTTCTCGATGTTTAATTGTAATTGCAAAGCTTTTTATCCTATCTTGGATTTTTTGAAAAAACCTTCCTATTCCACCTCCTCATTAAGACTGTAAATTTTTACATTTTTTGATCATTAAATTTTGCCCTTCCCTATAATCCACCTTTTTCTAGCTATCCTCAATGATCCTAGGACTAGGGGTGTCAACGGTATCTGAAAATCTGATTTCGAATTCGATATTCGAAATAATCGAATCGAATTCAGATAATTCGAATCTCTAATCGATCGAATTCGGATATGACCTGATTCGATAAATATCCGAATTCGATCGATTATTTAATTATATAAATATATAAAATATTTTATATAATTTATATATATATATATAATAATTTATATATTTATATACTTTATATCAATAAAATATTTATTTTATATATTTATTAATTATCTAAAATAATTAATTAATTGAATTCGAATTGAATCAAATATTCAAATATTTAATCGGATTCGAATTCACATAATGCCTTATCCAATTTGAATTCGATCCATTTACACTTCTACCTAGGACAGCCATCATGAGTGACCCACATATGGAACTTGAAGGGTCTCCTAAGCTTCTTGTTCCACCTCCTCAATTCCAGTTCCATGAATCCATTTCCATTTTCATCTTAATCCAATTAACTCGCATCAATCAAACCATGTCATTGTCTAAACATTTGAAAGATTCAAAATGCAAACCAAATGTTCCTTTCATAGATTGTTTGACTCTCAAGTTTCAAGCAACAAACATTTAATTTCAAGTAACAATTCAAAATAATTTAAAAAAGAATAGCAAAGTTTCAATCCAATAGCTTCCTTCATTAGGCCCCTGTGTTTTCAAACGGAATGATGTGTGTCTTAGTAGTTCAAACGGTAGAGACACACATAAACAACGTTAGATCCATCCATCTAGAATGGTCTGAGTAGTTTAGACATACATAAACAACGGTAGTTTAGACTTGGATGGTCTGAGTAGTTATTTCTTTTTCTTGTTTTGTTTGTTTCTCGGTCTTTTATTGGTTTTATATATCAACCGATACGTATCATTATGGGACCTCTCAGATACGCCCCTACAGTGGATGTATCAGGCTTCAAACCGGTTCAAAGGGTGGAGCAGCCTTAAACCGACCCCCCCTAAACTGGTTTTCAAAAAACAATAAAAAAGTCAAAAAAAAAATAAACAGTATTGATATCACCCGACACACCCCTACAGGCATATCAATATTTTGAACCTTGAATACAAGTGCTTTTTACCGAAAAAAAAAAAGATTAGGTTTGGTATTATTTTGTTCTTATTTAATGAATCTTTTTCTTGTTTTGTTTGTTTCTCGGTCTTTTATTGGTTTTGTATATCAGTCGATACATATCATTATGGGAGCTCTCAGATATGCCCCTACAGTGGATGTATCATGGTTCAAACCGGTTCAGAGGGTGAAGGAACCTTAAACCAGCCCCCCTGAACCAGTTTTCAAAAAACAATAAAAAAGTAAAAAAAACAGTATTGATATCACCCGATACACCCCTACAGGCATATCAATATTTTGAACCTTGAATACAAGTGCTTTTTACCAAAAAAAATAAAAAGATTAGGTTTGGTATTATTTTGTTCTTATTTAATGAATCTCTTGCTAACCAAAAAATCGAAACAGATCGATGTAAAAATCTCAACAAAATCCTACAAAAATACATTAAATAAATAACAATAATATAAGAATTACATTATAAAAATAAATACATTGATAACACTAAATACTTAAGAACACGTTTTAATATTTCATATTAAAAAATCATATTATGTTTGTATTGTTGCGATAAACCCAAGAAACATTGGAAAACGGAAAATGAATATTTTTGGTATATATTCTATGCCAATTTTCTTTATTTTTTTGAAAGAAAGAAACAAGATTATTATTATTATTATTATTATTAACAATACATGTTTCCTCTTCCACCAAAATGGGCTGGGCTCTATATGCGCACAAGGGAAGCAATATAACCGAAGGGCCAATTTAAGTTACTCTATAACTCAATCATATCCTCATGTAACTTTCAGTATATAGTATAAGTTCCTTTTAAGGGGGAAGCAACAAGTGAAGAACTGAAGATCCCTTTTTTATTTTACATCCAACCAGGTATCCATCAGGCACTAAAATACTCAGTTCATCAAAATATAATATTAAAAAAGGGATAAATATCGTCCGATTTCAGTAAGATCCGTATCCCAACTTCAAAATGTTCCTTCTATAAAAAACTTGATTAGCAGCTCATGACCACAGAACAAGAATAAGATAAACCATCTGGGCTTTGGGAAACTTTTCGAAAGGCTTCCTTGGATATCAAAATATTAACTGCAAAGAGCCCAGTCACTCCTCCACAACATTCACTAGTTCATACTCTACTAGAGACAGATTGTTATCTTCTTTAACTACAAATTTAGCAGGTTCAGTAACCTCCACGCGGCCCCATTTGTCTACTGCCAACCTCATAGACCCCTTGAACATGTCAATCTTAGCATTACGCAGGTTTACGGTGGCACCTGGCTTCATCAAGTCAACTGCCAATAAACAGAAAACCCATCATTACCAAAACAATTTTACAAAGCATTCTTCATATCATCACAAAAAATTCACAATAACAAAGCTTTTAAAAGATAATAAAATCCCTCACTAATCACCATATACAAGACTGAGCAACACTGTCTTCCACAATGAATTCATTTAATCACCAAAATAACAAATGAACCCTTCAGGTTCCCAACAAAGCAAAATCCTGCACGGTACAATTGCAGTAAATTATAAACCAAAGGAAGCAAAATTGGTGCATAAATCGTTTTATGCAACAAATATGTTATCAAAACCCAGGACCCTCCTGGAAGATTTCTTATGACGTGACTCCTACGCTACAAACACGCTTTCTTTGCTGTTTTACCATATACATTTGGACACTGAAGAATTTATCATTGCAAATGAGGAATTGTATGAAAAAAAAAATTGGATCTCACATGTCACCAAGATCAGCGTGCTGGCGATTTTCAAGGAAACAGCAGAATTAATCATATACCACAACCCATTTATAGTTAAAGGCGCATTTCCACAATTGGATAACAATGTCTCTTTAAATGAGATGGATATTAATACATAAGGTCATGTGATACATCATACATGAAGCATGCGTAAATGTCAGTTAGCTAGCTCATATATCAGTTGTATTAAATAAATTTGGTGAACCACAAAATATGTAATTATACTTAACTGCTGATTAAGTAACTACATGGTAGAGTAATGCAACTATTTACACCAGGGGGGGGGGAGGGGGAGGTGATTAGATTATTGATACACGGGTCAAAAGTAGAATAAACAATCATACACTTGTAAAATTTCACCTATCGTGTTTTTTTATAAAGGCACATAATTGTCGAAATTTCATAACACTTGAAAAATCAGCAAGCAAACCCAGTAGATGAGTGTGCTCCAACTGCATGACGAAGAAAGCACTAAAAGATATTTCAATTCATGTCTTGTCTTTAAATCTATTTTTTTTCTACAAAATATGGAGATACCATAACTTCACAAGCATTTAATTTTAGGCCCATGAATTTGTCAGACCAGTCTATGGACATAAAACCCTAATTTAACAGCACACGCAAAGATCTTATCTACATGAAAACAATGTAATATTTTATCAAGTACCAAGTAAAACAGTATGGATGGTCTGAGAGATGAACTTCCTTGTTACATCATCAAACAGGGTGTTTCTTATACCAACTAGTGGGCACAGAAAAAACGAGTCATCTTCCATCTTCTAATTGTCAATACTTTAGTATAAAAATGTCCAAGTGGCTTTATTTGGAAAAATGAAATGCTTGGTTCAATTTTCCTAAAAGAGAGGTTTTACAATCCCAATGGATAAATCATTCTAAGATGCTATACATTATAGCCATATTTCACCTGCTTGCACTGCTGATCTTAGACAATACCAACGCAAATAATTGTGAAGTGTTACCAATCTCTGAATGAAATGCTTGGTTCAATTTTCCTAAAAGAGAGGTTTTACAATCCCAATGGATAAATCATTATAAGATGTTATACATGTTTCTCGTGTGTAACAAGATGCTATACATTATAGCCATATTTCACCTGCTTGCACTGCTGATCTTCGACAATACCAACGCAAATAATTGTAAAGTGTTACCAATCTCTAAATCTCTTACGAACCCCTACAGCTATCAATAAACATTGGCATGCATCAAAGGATTAACATAACCATCATAAAACAGTATTCCAAGTCTCAACTATTTTGTTTCAACTAAAAATAAAAGAGACATCTTCCAATCAACACTTTCTAGGGATGCATCTACATTCTCTAGCCTAGTGTCATATTTTCACTAGAGAATGAGAAACAAGTCATTTCAAACTATGCAATTTCCACCATCCCCATTCTCTAGCCTTTAACATGCTTCCCTTACTTTAGCTGGTGGAGTCATTGATCTTTGGTAACATAGTTGTCAAGGCGACACCTACATGTCGCCTCGCCCAGTCATCAAGCAGTTTTGTGCACTATGTTATAAAATACTTTTATATTTTTAATTTTTTGATATTATAATTGTAAAATAAACATTATTAAACTAGAATATTCATTTTATGTGTTTACATACTAATTTTTTATTATTTTCTTATTTGTTAGGGTTTAATCAACACAAACATTGCTAACTGTTGCATTGAACCCATGGTTCAAAGTATTGATACACCTCTGTGTATCAGTACTTATAACGATACTCCACCTATTTTTTTATTTCTTTGGTTTTCAATTTCATTTATATATCTCTCTCTCTCTATATATATATATATATTATTTAAAAAATGGGCCCCTGAAAACACCTATAAATAGGTGTACCGGGACCACAAAGATACAATACAGTACACCCGATACAGGGCGTACCGTATCAAAATTTTGATCCTTGATTGAACCCTCAAAGATTTCAAAACCTGAAACAATAAGCAAGAGAAGAACTTAAAATTTTGTCTAATCAACACATTTTCTTCTTCCAACTTTTCTTTTCTTCTTTTCCTATAAAAAAAGTAGGGGTTCAGCCCCAATATTTTTTGAATTTTCTTTCCTTTGACATTTTTCTTCTCATAAAATGTTGATTTTCTAGACTTAAACATGAAATTTATACTTCTCTTATGAAAATTATGGATAATTAAAGGAAAGATGGTTATGGAACCTACTGAACTACCCTAAGATATATGGTTTTACATAAAAAAATTCTTTCGCCTAGGTGGCGACCCGTCACCTAGCCTTGCCTTGACACCTTGACAACTATGTTTGGTAAAAGATCAAAGCAAAAAAGAAAAAAAAAATTACCCTGGAGTCCTACGCCTTGAAGATGCTTATAATTATCCCTCAAATTCTTGCCACTGCAACTCAACATCCAAGTATTGCTGAAGTCATTTTAGTACATGTTAAACCCTGGTTCCCAAAATGATGGTTCACAGTTAGACCTGCACAATATTCCCTCTAGTTTGATTGATAAGAATTTTTTTCTTGAACAGGTAATGTATAGTTTGATTGATATGAATTAACATAATGGGTTGCAGAAGCAGACGAATCTATAATTGGTCACTGGCATACAATACCGAGACTACACAGCATTGTTATCAATAATGCACCACGTGTGAGGAGTCCACAAAGTGAACATGTAGTTGCCCGTGAAGAGCCTACAGAAATTTCTGAATGTGCACAGAATGCACTTTAGACTTTAGTATTCTGCCACCGCCTGGCGTTCGATGTCACCGACTATGTAGAGGCCCCAAAACAGCACCTGACACAGCTCAAAGAAAAAACATCTTCTTTTCCGCCGTGAATGCTTCCCCATGTTCTGAATTGTGGCTATTATTGCACGGTTCCTCGAGAAACGGTCCTCTAACTACCATTATTATTTTGGGATAATGGATGTCTCGATATTGAACTACCAATAACTCCAAATATAGGGCATTAACTTGAAATATCAAATACTAAAATAGAGCCTCCTCACCTTCATTACTAACTACTAAGTACTAACATATTATAAGAGGGATTACAAGATTAGCATCAGAGAATGCGATCGAGGGCTGCCCTCACTTGAAAGCTGAAACATATTCTGGATTTCAATATGCATGGAAAGCCTGGGAACCAGAATCAGCGCACAATTTATGGAGACAAAAAGTGCAATTTCTGAACAAGCACATAAATTTCAGAATCCATGTAGCAAAATAAAAAAAAAAAAAAAACAGAAAGAGAAGAAAAAGCAAGTCAATTGATTGAAGGCGTAAAAGGGTGGCCAAAACGATTATTAAAGAAACTCGATGATAAAAAGGGTTATACCTTGGTCGTTACGAGCAGTGAAGATAATCGTGCCGGTCTCATCACCGACAAGGCATTCGGCGATGCGAGTGTGGCGAAGGTGCTGAGACGCCGCTCGGCCCTTCTGCAACACGGTCTTCGAACTCACGACCTTGACCGTGAGGGTATGACCACTGGTCCCGGGCTTCAGCTGGTCAACCTTCGTAAACACAGGTTTCCTCATCCCCGGTTTCGCACTGACCTGCTGCTGTGTATTTGTCGTCGTCGTCGTCGTCGTCGTCGTTCCTGTCGTCTCCATGGATAAGCAGAGAAAACGTAACCCTAACCCTAATCCACCAAACTCTGAAAGATGAACGAAGCCCTAAGAAAAGACAAAAAAGCGGTAGGGTTTTCCTCGTTCGATCTCTCTCCCTTCCTAAAATCCCAAAGTTTTCCCCGGGGCCTCTCTTTCCTTTTTAATTCATGGGTTATTGGGAGTGAGAGAACGACGCTGATTGGTAGGAATGCTAGACTAGACTAGTAAACTTTTCTCTAGGCTAAGATTAGGTGATGCTCACACTACCATATTATATTACCTACCAATGAGCCCCACCTAGGAGGCGATATCATCTAAGGAGACAAAAAATTCCTGTTTTAGGATCAAAACAAACTTCGCGCTTGCGGTGCAATCAAGGGTGCAATTCTGGTGTAAAACAAACTTCGCGCTTGCGGTGCAATCAAGGGTGCAATTCTGGTGTAAAACCTTCTTACACGAACTACGAACTACTCCGATAAGTCATGGATCTTAGTAAGGGAGCGATGTCAGTTGGATTTTGAAACCCTTGGTTTTGTTATTAGACATTTTACCCTTTTAGCTTAATTTTTCTAAATCACATCTCTCATATGTTTTCTCTTACAGATGTATATGTCTAGATATATTCGGTGCAAATATAAGGTTTTGGAATCCAATATACAATGTTTTACATTGTAATGTCCAAACTTGTATTTGCACTCTTCTCAAATTAAGTCGTGGACTTAAAGTTTGGAAGGAGTACAAATGCAAATATGTGGAGTGCAAAATCTTGTATTATATATATATAATAAAAAATATTATTTTATATATATTTGTATTGTACTTATTTGTACTTGGATTCTTTTTAAATTGAATATTGCACATACCTTTATTTGTATAAAGGTTCAGTTTGGGAAGAGTACAAATACAAATATGTACAGTGCAAAACCTTATATTTTGTACTTCTAAACCTTGTATTTGCATAGTATATATTTGTAGACAGGGCAATTGGGTTGTGTGTGTCGGGTTCGGGTCGGGTTAGGACCCCTATGGGTTGCTTTGGGTCGGGTTGAATTCTGGGCTGGGCTGTCAAATGCTAGACCCTAACCCTAAATGTTCGGGTTAGGGTTGATCCATGGGTCAATTCGGGTCATCCCCAAAAAAAAACTGAAATTTAAAAAAACAAAGAACAACTACATGAAAAATGCCAAAATTAAAAGAATTAACCTTAAAATTCCAAATATAAACTAAAAAAACTTGAACATTTAACAATTTAAAGAGTAAAGACTAAATAGAAAAAATTAAAGAGTGGAAACTTCTAATAATGCATAAATAGTCCCAATTAGACTTGACAATCAGGTCAGCGGGTTGACCTATGACCCAACCCATTTTTTTCCGGGTTGGGTCAGGTCGGGTCATTCTCACATTCAGGTAGCTAAATATGAGACTCTAACCTTGTTTTTTCGGGTTGGGTTGGGTCAAGTTTTTGCCAGGTCTACATATTTGTATTTGTATTGTTTTCAAATCGAGCCTTAGGTTGCAATACAAATGCAAGTATGTACACGCATATTTACCCTCTTTTTGGTTCAAAATGCAAACACAGCTCAGATTTTAAACCGTTTTTGCACTCATCTTGTTTGCTTGAAATCGGCGCTAAGTATGGGCCCCATCATTAAATGCTCCAATACCTTAACTTTGGTTAAAGAGTTGATTATCCAAAGAATATACAATTGTATCCAAAAAATAGGTACAACATTGCTCTCTTTTCATAGTACAAAAATATCAAAAAATACATTTTTGATTTGATAATCATTCTTTTTTTACATGTTAAAGTCAAACAAATACATTTATGTACGCGAACCATAGTACATAAATACCCCAATTCGACATTTGTATTACAAACAAACAGAGCCTTAGTTGTGTTTGATTCTAACCAGGGATGAACCCAAGTTATAGGTTATTGGATGGGCAAAGTCACATTAATACTCATTTATCTCAATCATGACCCAACTTGATTTCTTGAAATCCTAATTTAAACTTTAACAAACTCCATTATTTTTTCTCCTATGTCAATTCAATTTGTTTGAATTGAATTTTTCAGGTTATACTTGAATTAGAATTACATATTTACTTATATATTATAGGGTCGGATTGAACAACGTCTCAATCTTAACCCAGCCCAAAATTTAATAGGGTTCATATTTGTTAACTTTAACCTTAACAAAAACTTTAAATCGGACTTTTTAGTTGGATTTTAGTTGTAGAATACATTTCATATGTGCACTTTAGAAATTTTCACTTAGTCTCCGTTTTCCATTCTTCCTCATCTCTCATTCTCTTGGCCCCATAAGAGAAAATTCCTGACTGTGCCACTGATTGTAGTGCATTTTTATTTGCATTAATACAAATGTATGGGAGTGCAAATGAAAAGAATGTAAATTCTGGTTTACATTCTGTTATCCCCTAGAGGTGTGATCCCTCTTGGTTTTCTCCTTCAAGCTTTACTCTCATTCTGTTATCCCCAAAAGAAAAAGAGTGCTCCCTATCAGCACTAAACTAGAGAGTTAACATACAAAAGAGATCTTAGAAAGGTGTAAGGGGATATTACAGTTCTCGCAAGTCACAGTATAATTGGTGTATAGCTGTTGAGTAGCTCAATTGCATTAATCCGAACCAAGGAATCAAAATTTAGTGGGGCTCGATTCAAGGAATCAGAAAGCAATTTCGATTTTATTCCAACCTGTTCATTTATTTCAGTTGAAACAAGTTTTGCATTAATGCAAATAAATATGTATTGCAACGAAATACAGAAAACGAATTTTTTTATAAACAATATATACTTTCTAATGGTCATTATCATCGTTTTGATATTTGTTACTATGAGCCCATAAAATCTTCAATGGGGAATCTATAGTTTTACACCCCACCCCACCGAAAAAAAAGAAAACAAACACAGTGGAATCAAATTAGTGGATGACTCGATAGCTTCAGTGTTACGTAAAGAAAAAATGTGCCTGAATAGTGTTGGTGCATCTTCACTGTTACGTAAAGAAAAATGTTCCTGAAACTTTAAGAAGATGCCCAGGTCTTTTAGCTATAAAATATAAAATAATGGTGGATCATTAACTTTTTTCTTTATTACTTCGTGTGTGTGGTTGTGGAAGCCATGTCAAAGCACACTATAGGACAATAAGAAATGGAGATTCGTTAATGGACCTTTTCTCACGTGACATAAAGAGATCACATCTTCCACTCCACAGCTTATCATCGTCGTGTATTGGGAATATCTCCTGATGATAGTATTAGTTTTGATGATATCATCATTGAGAGATGTTCTCGGAGATATACTGTGAGGCGGAGATGTAAACTCTACACAAAAACAGGACTTTGTCCTAATTTCTTTTTTTTTCTTCCCCTTTATTCTTCTCCACTTGCATCATGTATCTTGTTTTTTGCTGCTTTGGTCAAAGTGGTGACATGACAAAAGAAAAGGCTGAAGAAAACAAGATGTGAAATCCTGTTTGGATTCTCATTATTTCAAAAGGTTAGAGATGATCCACAGTACTCTAAATAATGACCCATTCTTCTAAAATTCATTCATCAAAAACATAATTACCGAGGAATTTGCTTTACCCATAGATCAAGCTTTATATGTATCATCCCTCAGCCAGGGGGAGAGTGGAAGTATGCAATTGGTAGGCTTGGATATGGTTTTGATAATGAAGGTTTATGTATAAAATCCTGAACCGACAAGTAAGAGAATGTGCCACATTGCATAAACAATTGCTGATGTGGCATTTATTTTCTGTTTTAAAAACAGAATCCTGCACGGTAAGATGCCATCTAAATTTCCAATGATCCAAACAATAAGAGAAATGAAATATGATAGTAATAATGATTGAAATTAAAGTATAATTATTAATTATGTGGTAGTTAAATATATTTATTAAATGTCTCAATAATGGGTTTCATGGTGCATATGCACAAGTTTCCATTGCTGCCTTTACTAAGGTTTCCCTACCTTTCCCTTCAAACCAAACACAGTCTAACAGCAGCAAATTGGATTCACAACATGCATTTATTATAAGGGTGTAAACGGATTGAATTCGAATCAAATCAAGCAATATCCAAATTCGAATCCAATTAGAAAATCCAATATCTAACGGATATTGAAATTAATATTAATTTGATTATATATTCAAATATTTGATTCAAATTCGAATTTTACTAATTAATTATTTTAGATAATTAATAAATATATAAAATAAATAGTTTATTTATATAGAGTATATAAATATTTAAATTATTTATATAATTTAATTATTATATATATATATATATAAATTATAGTTTAAACTATTTAAACATTTTATATAAAAAATAAATAATCGGTTGAAGTTGAATATTTATTGAATTGAATAAGGTCATATATGAATTTGAATCTGATTAACTAATTAGTATGAATAGGATATTTGAATTTGACCAATTAGATATTCAAATTATCAGCCAGTACAAAGTGGCAATTGGATCATAAGCCGAGTTTGAAGTCATACACACAATTCTAACTTGCACATAAGGGTGACTATTGTTTGTTAAAACCGAAAAAAAAAACGATTTGAAAGTTTTGGTTTTGATTTGTTTGGCTTAGTTATTTCAACTTTTGGTTTTTTAGTTAGTCAATTCAATTTTATATTACGGTTTGGTTTCATTTTTTAGTAGAGGTAGAGGTACAATTTGGGATGAACTGAGTTAACATTTTACACTACTTTGGTTTTATTTATCTTCACTTTTTGATAATTCGATTTTAGTTTGGTTTTCTATTTTACTAGTTTAGTTTTTAAAATTTCGACTTATTTGATTCAGTTTTTAACCAAATAAATCGAATGTTCACTCCTACTTGCACGACATACATCCTTTGTTTTGTGGTTCAGCCCAGGTCAGCCCAAGTCACTTTTACAGCTCTAATTTGCATGTGCTTTTCAATATTCAACTCCTATATTTTAGTATTTTTTTACATCATTTGAATGCCAAAAAAGTTATTCTATGAAACATTTACGCCCTTTTTCTCTTTCTTTGAGGCTTACACGAGGTGTAAGCCTCAAAGCTTAAGAATGAAATTAATTAAAATTTATAAATTGATAAAAAGTACTGGTAAAATATACTAAGTTAGAGTGATAGAAGGTATAAATTATATCCAAAAATAAAAGTTAATAAGTAATAAATTTC